AATATTCAGACGATCGGAAATGGGTAAAACTGTATTACAAAATTACATTACGTTCTTATACGTACATATTCAATACGTACGTATATATGTACAATACGCACATATTGCATACATACATGTCAAGCTAATTACAGGGAAAATATTAATTGTGTAAGAATATTGTAAATATTAGTTAAGTGGGGCGACGAAAACAAATAAAATCATGATGATACCTGTCAAACTTACAAAGTAAATAAACTTGGGAAGTAAAACATTATCATAAATACAAATATTTCTCCAAATTGGTAGAGCATTTTGCGAGAAGTATTTTCTACCTTGTAGGGCACGTTTTCTGTTTAGGTGTACATATGTACATGTCAAGCTAATCACGGCGAAAATATTAATTGTAGAAGAATATTGTCAATATTAGTTAAGTTGGGCGACGAAAACAAACAAAATCATGATGATACCTGTCAAACTTACAAAGTAAATAAACTTGGGAAGTAAAAAATTATCATAAATACGAGTACAAATATTTCTCCAAATTGGTAGAGAATTTTGCGAGAAGTATTTTCTAGGTTGTAGGGCACGTTTTCTGTTTAGGTGTACATATGTACATGTCAAGCTAATCACGACGAAAATATTAATTGTGTAAGAATATTGTTAATATTAGTTAAGTTGGGCGACGAAAACAAACAAAATCATGGATGATACCTATCAAACTTACAAAGTAAATAAACTTGGAATGTAAAACATTACCATAAATACAAATATTTGACCAAATTGGTAGAGCGTTGTCATAAATAGCCTAGAGCTGACGGAACTCTCTAAATCAGGCACTGTCAATAAGTACCAATTACCGACAAGAAACTTACAAGTAGACTATTTTTTCTCAACAGTTAAAATGTATCCTTTTAATATATGTTCATAAGTAAAATAAATCTATGGAAGTTCATTATGTCTACGCATTGTCATCCTTTAATTTAAGTAACTTATAATATCTTTTCTTATATATAATTAATTATTTTATTTATTTATTTTTATGTTATGGAAAACCAACAGCTTACAAATCTTAAGTAAATAACATGTTAAATTTACAAAAAAAGCCAATAACAGGTTCTCACTAATAGAAATACAGTAACATAATCGATTTCGTTGTTTAAAGGACATAGCACAAATATGAGCAACAAAAATGGAGTCTAATTTAAATGTACAACATGCATAAATTTAATAAGTGAAACAAAGAACAATAGCCACAAAAGAAAAGAAAAGAGAAAACAGGACGAAACACACAATATAATTTTTCTTAAAATAAATAAAATTATGACTTAAAAAATTCTCGACTTAATGCCCGCCTTGCCGAATATATAGCTAGTATTAAACAAATCAAAATCATGCTTTTTGCATAAATTATTAAAATTGTTAATAGCCCGATACATGAAAGTATTTCTTCCATAATTAGTTGATGAAGCTGGTAAGTAGAGTAATGCATTCGTTCTAAGGTTCACTACAGGCGTTCTCAGTGATATTTGTGATAGCAAATCAGAACAGTCAACATTGCCAGAACAGATTTTCAATAAAAATACAGTGTCAGCAATCTCCCGACGCTTTATCAGAGGTAGCAGATGATGGTGTTTGCATAAGGATAAGTAGTCTTCTGATCGGTAGTTTCTATTGGTACGATAGCAAAGATATCGTATAAATTTACGTTGGATATTTTCGATCCGTGAAATGTATGTATGATACATCGGGTTCCAAATCTGTGAAGCATATTCAAGCGTACTGCGGACGTAAGTACAGTACAAGATTTTAATTGTTTTAATATTATTAAACTCCTTTGCACTACGCATGACAAAACCTAACGCCTTAGATGCCCTAGTTATGATATTGTCAACGTGGGTGTTGAATAATAACTTAGAGTCGTGGAAAATCCCTAGATCACGTACAACAGGTTCTTTTTGTAACTTTTGGCCTTTAAGGTGATAGCCGAAATTAATTAAGTTTCGCTTGCGTGAATATGTAATAAGGGTACATTTTGATGGGTTTAGATCAAGCTTATTGATATTACAGTATTCTTCCAATCTTAGTAGATCTCGCTGCAGTAATTCAGCATCATTCTGAGATGAGATTGTGGAAAATATTTTCATATCATCAGCAAAACACAGTAGGTGTGATGATTTAAAACAGGTTTCAATATCGTTGACAAATATAAGAAACAGCAACGGCCCCATCAAGGACCCCTGTGGCACACCACTCGGTATTGACACCCAACCTGATATGTAATTGTTAACAACTACAGCCTGCGAGCGATTGTCGATATAAGAGGAGAACCACCGCAGTAGATCTCCACAGATACCAACATACTGTAGCTTTTTTAAAAGCAAATTATGTTCAATCCGGTCGAAAGCCTTACTGTAATCTGTATAAATAACGTCAACTTGATGACCATCATCCATGGCTTTAGTCAAGAAAGAATTGAGGAGCACCAAGTTGGAAACGGTAGATCTACCCTTGAAGAAACCATGTTGAGACTGGCTTATGCTTTGTTTTAGTAACGGATATACCTGCTCATAAATCAACTTTTCAAAGACTTTGGAAATGATGCACAACTTAGAAATTGGCCTATAATTAGCGACATCGGTCCTAAGACCCTTCTTGTGCACAGGGGTGATATATGCACGCTTCCAAATATCAGGAACTGAGCATTCATGCAACGATTTGCGATATAGCAAACTTATTGGTAGTGTTAACGTCTCTGCACAATTAATAAGAAAAATGGCTGGTAGGTTATCAGGTCCGGCGGATTTTGATGGATCTAGAGCTTTCAATAACCGATACACGTGCTTAACGTTAACTTCTATATTTGAAATATTTGCAGTCGATTTTGATGTTACATTAGAAATATTTGGAGTTGATTGAGCGACCGGGTATAAGAAATTTGACTTGAAATAAGTTGCAAACGCGTCACTAATAGACTGTCCTGTGTTATAAATTACACTACCTAAATTGAGACTACTTGGAATAGAGTGAGTTTTTGATTTACGTTTAACATATGACCAGAAATATTTAGGATTTTTTACTATTGACCTTTCAACGGTTGATATGTAGTTTTTATGACACATATCTTCCAAATATTTTACACGAGTGCGCAGTATTTTATAAGATTCTTCATCGGATCTATTACCGTAGGTCCTGAATTTACGAAGGTACTTATGTTTTTCTTTAATTGCTTTCTTTAATGCTGGGGAATACCACGTATGGTAAGAGTCCGGTTTAATTATTTTTGACGGTATGTGCTTATCTCTTAATTTCTCAAATATTTCATAAAAATATTTAATGGAATCATTAAGAGATTTCGAAGAAAATTCGGTTTGCCAATCGATTTCAGCATATTTTCGATGAATTGATTGATAATCACCTTTGTTATAAAAAAACTTAATAAACGGAGTTGTTTTAAGTGTGCTTAACTCATAAAAACGTACTTCAATTACTAACGCTCCGTGAAAGGGATCTACTGGTACCAAAGAGTCGTCACTACAATCAGATACGGCTACATCACAGTTAGATAACACAAGGTCGAGTGTTTTACCATATTTATTGCGTATACCATTATATTGGCAAAAGTTAAGCGCATTAATTTCATCTACCAGTAACCGTTCGTTGTGCGTACTATAGTTCGTTGGCTCATAGCAATGGTAACAACAATTGGAACAGTTAGATGCGGGTACCCATTTTATGTTACTTAAATTAAAGTCACCCACTATAAGATATTTATCCGTGGGATATTTTAAGACTATATCATTTAGTTTTGTAAAAAAATTCAATAACTGATCCGAGAAACTAAAACTTCCATGTAAATTACATAAATATAAGACACAAATATGCAGAAAAGTAGGAATTTTAGTATCGCTTTTTATGACAGTAAGCGTGAGCCAAAGATCTTCAGCACTGGAGTTAAAGTTCGGTTGAGGTTCAACAGACAACTCTCTGCGTGTCGCAATGAGTACACCGCCCCCGTACAATTGGCCCGTCCCAGCATAATCACGATCGCGGCGCCATACAACATAACGACCATCAAATAACTCGGAGTTCGAAATACCATCCAGAAGCCACGTTTCAGTTATAACAATGACATCATATTTAGACGAGCAGATATTACGGTAGAAGTCAGATATTTTAGTACGCAGACCTCGTGCATTCTGATAATAAATATTAAATAAAGAGCTATTCGTATTATTAATAAAAAACGTAGCCATTGTAAATCATTAAATTAAAAATAAAATAAAAACAATATAAAATCGAAATTATAAAGCTAGGCAATATGTAAAAAATCTTAAAATAATAACTAAAATTCCTTAATTTGGTTTTAACTGCAAACACAAATAGCGAATAAACATGGTAACTAATTATCACGTCAAAACAGTGCTGTAATAATAAACACATTATTAAAAAAATAATAGAATCAATATCGTTCAACATCATATTACGAAGAGGAATAGCGAGAAAGCCAACTCTAGTATTAAAAAAAATGTTTAAAGTGTAATGAAAAAGCAGGTGAACACAAATGCTTATGCAACTAAAAATCAAGATTATTAAACTAAGCGGAATGCAAAAAGCCTTAAAATAACTAATTAAAAATATATTATTAATATTGGGGTTAATAGCATGATACGAAAGCAAACCAACACGATAACATATTAATACATTAAAACATTTTTGCAGCATGGAATAAGTGCAATCAATATCATTTAATACCAAATAGGGTATAAGAGCGAAAAAAGCGAGCACAATATGCATACGGTTACCTAAAATATATCGAATAAGCGGGTAGGAACAATTATACGTCGAGCAATATATCAAACAAAGAGTTTTAGAAAAAAACACAGAATAACAAAAGCGATACATCTGCAAAGCAGGGGTTGTAAACATTTCATTACGAGTGTAATGTACAACAGAAGCAATTAAACAATATGTAATTAAACTGAGACCTAAGTTAAGCAAATTATATCTTTGGAGGCAGTTTAAGCTAACTTGTTTAAATCACTATCACTTGTTATAATCATAACCCTCGTAGTGTCATTTTTTCTAACATGAATTTTACAATACTTTACCCAAACGTATTGATAAGCTTTATCTTTACAAATAGCTTTGGTTTTAGTTAACAAAGTCTTAGAATACGGTGTTAAGTGGTCATTAACATACAGACGTTGTTCGTTACCCACAAACCCAATGTCCTTCGCTGTCATGAATTTCTTGGCTCTCGCTGCAGCTACAAATTCTTCCTTTATGTAGCGGTTGATGAAGTTGACAATAATAGATTTATCTTTACCAAAATGTGTCGGCACCCTCGCTATATAATTTATTTGATGTTTGGGGATCGTGTAACCAACTTGCGTGCATATGTTTTCTACTATTGAAAAAAGGTTTTCATCTCTCTTTAGGGGAACTCCCTTTATCTCGACATTGTTAAGTCGAGACCATTGTTCCTTAGCAGCTAACTCCTTTTTCAGGGTCGATATTTCAGAGAGTGTCGAGTCAACTGTTATTTTTATTTGCTCCAATTTCGGTATCTTGGATTCAAGATCAGTTATTCTGGACTCACAGTTAATTATTTTTTCACTATTAAATTCACAGGATGATTTTAGCTCTTGTATTTCACGCCTAATGCTTTTCACGTCATCAATGAGTGCTGGTAGGCAGTGAAGCTGTAGTTTTAGGTCACGTATTTCCTGCAGAACCATATCAATTGAAGCACCACCATCAATGGCAGGGATCGGCGGCGACGTGGTTGGCGTTGGCGTTGAAGGGGCGTATAGAAGGTTCCGGCAATAGGAACACCTCCACGCAGCCCTTCGGTCGGCACCCAGCTTCCTATACCCAGCTTCGGTTATATTTGAGCAGCCAAAACAAAGTTGCTTTTTACACGATCCACACTTAACGCTATCATTGAAATCCGTATTGCATAGTGCACAATGCATTATTATTAACAATTACTCTCGACGTAATCGAATAAGATATAAAGATATAAAAGAACTGATAGAAAATGAACTTAAATAGAATTTGTTTGTAACTCCTGATGCTCAGAACTCGTTTTAATAACACCGACACGTGCTATCTCTAAGTGTAAACAACGACAACTGAACTATAATTATAATGTAGGTATATAACATATTATATATATATATATATATATATATATATATATATATATATATATATATATATATATATATATATATATATATAACATAATTGCTCGCTTAAAGTACATATTACAGTCAGCTTCCAAACTGAAACCCGTTATTTTATTATTACAATGCTTTCATTTGCGGTTTAGTTCTCATTTGGGAATCTTAAAATTTTGAAAACAAGTTTCACTAATTTTGTTGCTATTTATAACGTTATAACAGTAACTGACATCCCTCAAAACATCTAATTATTTACTTCGAATAAATGAGTATGTATTTTTTAAATATTGAGGCCACGTTCACACGGCCATACTTTTCCTTAATAATGGTTCAAAATAATTATCAAATAGTAATTTGATACTTATTTTGAAGAAAAAATAAATCTATGGAAGTTCATTGTGTCTAAGCATTATCATCTTTTAATTTAAGTAACTTATATCTTTTCTCATATATAATTAATTATAATGTATATAACATATTATTTTAAATATACCAACATAAAATATATACATAAAATAATTGCTCGCTTAAAGTATTAAGACATACAATTATGGTAAAACTGTACTTTATTTATTTTATATTTACACTACATAATATTACAGTAAGCTTCCAAACTTAAACCCGTTATTTTATATTACAATGCTTCCATATGCGTTTAAGTTCTCATTTGGGAATCTTAAAATTTTGAAAACAAGTTTCACTAATTTTGTTGCTATTTATAACGTTATAACAGTAACTGACATCCCTCCAAACATCTAATTATTTACTTCGAATAAATGAGTATGTATTTTTTAAATATTGAGGCCACGTTCACATGGCCATACTTTACCTTAATAATGGTTCAAAATAAGTATCTGTAATTTGATACTTATTTTTAAGAAAAAATTGACTCAGTGTGTTCAAAGATATTTAAAAAATGTATTCCGGCCATTTTTATATCAAATTGGCGGGACCGATACTAGTACTCGAAAACCCCACGTGGTAATATCGCTTATATTCTGATTTTTAACTAATTAATACAGATATTGCTGCCTCGTTTTTCTAGCAATCGTAAACGCGGTTGCTGATCAAGAATCAAGAATCATTTATTTGCATGAAACACGGTAAATAAGTTGTTACATTACATAAAAGATCAACATGTTTTGTCCTATTAATTTAAATTAGTTATTTAAACAGTACAATTATTATTATTATAGTATTCATATTTAAAATCATAATTCATTACAAACAGATTGAGTTTAATTAAATTGAATTAAAATTAAATATTATTTAAACAGTACAATTATTTTTATTATTATATTAGTCATATTTAAAATCATAATACATTACAAACATTATATTCATGGTCAAGTAAATTAAAAGCCCTGTCCAGTAACCACATAAAAAGTTTGCTTTTAAATTTACTAAGAGGCAATGACTTTATGTCGCTAGGCAGTTTGTTAAACACCTTTATTGCCATCGATTAACAGCTCTTATGAGAGGTTGCCTTCTTTCTAAATGAAAAAACTAGTTTATCCTTATACCTTGTATTAAAACTAACGACATCACAATTTTTTGTAAAAAACTGTTTATGTTTTTTGACCAAGATACCCAATTCGAAAATATAAATGCTAGGAAGTGTTAGAATTTTTAGGGTTGGAAAAAGTTCTCTACAAGAATATAATGGACCAACCCTGCAGATTGCCCTTACACACTTTTTTTGAGCAATAAAAGCTTTGTTCACTGTAGATCCATTTCCCCAGAGTATTACGCCATATCTCAAAAAGGAATCTATATAGCCATGATAGGCGAGTAAAGCAGTTTTTTGAGATGAAGTCCTTGACAATCTTCGTAATGGGTAAATGAACTTATTGATTTTTTACAAACTTCTTTAATATGTCTTTGCCAAGTACAACCATCATCAATATGTATCCCCAAGAATTTTGTATTTTGAACCTCCTCTAGTTTTAGTCAATAGTTTCTTTATATTTCCTTAGGTTAAATTGTATTATTTTTGTTTTGCCTAAATTTACTTCGAGTCTATTCTTGTATAGCCAATCTGTGACACTTATAACAGCTGTGATTATTTTATCATTGTAATTGGATTTAGTGTCAGTACTTATTATGATTGAAATATCGTCAGCAAAAAGTACAGACTTGCAATTGATAAAGTCAGGTAGGTCATTCACGTAAAGCAAAAAGAGAAGAGGCCCCAGGACACTCCCTTGCGGGACTCCACTACGGTTGTGTTTATATTTGGATCTGTACGATGTCATTACATTATTAACGTCTATATAATTTATTTCAACACACTGTTCTCTACCGCTTGGATAAGATTTTATCCAGTGTAATGCTGGGTCCCGAATGCCATAGCAGTACAGCTTATCAATTAAGATATCATGATACACTACATCAAAAGCTTTACTCATATCAAAAAATACTGCAGATACTAGGTGACCTTTGTCAATATAATTAATTATTTCGGTAACCAATGAATAGGTTGCTAATTTGGTCGATTTATTTCTTTGAAATCCATTTTGCTCTACTTTTAGAATGTCAAATTTTGTTAGATAGTCGTACATTCTAGAATACATAATTTTTTCAAAGATTTTAGACAGTATAGGTACTAAAGTAATTTGTCGATAATTATTTATGTCGCATTTATCATCCTTTTTATGTAGCGGTTTTACTATTGAAAACTTGAGAGCTGTTGGAAAGGATCCTTCTATAAACGATATGTTAACCAAATGTGACAGAATTGGCGATAATTCTTCAGCACACATCTTAAGGATTCCAGTTGCTATGTTGTCGTAACTAACTGATAGTGTGTTTTTCAACGAAAGTATTACTCTTTTTATCTCATATTTATTTGAGGGACACAAAAAAATACTTTTCATATTATGTTTGGTTAATGTTTCATCAATTTGCTTCATTTTATTCGGTGAATGAATAAAATGTTTGTTTGAATTCTCGGCCATTAGTATTTTGTCATTAGTAACTTTATTATTTATTTTTAATTCTTTGATACTTTTTGGGATATTATTAGCTACAGTTTTGTTTTGGATAATGTTTCACGCTGCTTTGCATTTGTTTTTGCTATTTGAGATATACTTGTAATTGCTAATTCTTTGGGATTTACTTATAACTTTTTTAGAATGTTAGTATAAAGGTAATATTTTGACATGTTTGATTTTTTTTCATTAGGTCTTGATGTATGGTAATTGTACCTCAACTTCCTTTTTGTTTTACAAGACTTTTTAAGTCCTGCTGTAATCTATTTAGGGCCACAAGTTTATATCTGACGTTTAATTTTAATCACGGGAAAGCATAAGTCATAGAATAATCTAATTATGTCATGAAAATTACTAAAAGCTAGGTAAAAGTTTGATTTGTCATATATATCACTAAATGTCAGTTGCTTCATTATTTCTTTAAATTTTCTCCTATTATCAGTCCTATAGTCTCTTCTAAGTATCCAATATGTATTTATGTAAGCTTTATATTTATAAGGAAATTTAATACTAAGCGTTTGACCCGTGTTATGGTCAGATAACCCCAATTCATATATTTTACCGTCGGCTTCTCGGTCATTGCTTATAATATGATCTATACAAGTTTTCTGTCTGGTAGGCTTTTATATGTGATGAGTGAGGTTATTGTTTAGTAAAATGTCTTTATAGAATTCAGAAGCTGGTTTGCACTTGATTATGTCAATATTAAAATCTCCGGCTATAATTATTTTAAAGTCATTATATCTGTTACAAATATTATAAAGCATGTCTTGAAATTTATTTAAAAAGTCTGTTACATTAGACTTAGGTATTCTATAGATGCAGATAACACAACAGCGATGGTCTGGCAAAATGATACCACATACCTCAAAAGTGTTTTCAGCTTGATATTTATTAATTATTGTAAGATCTGTAAAGTTAAAATTATTTTTACAAAGTATGCATACACCACCTCGTTTTACGTCAAGTCTTGAATAAATATTTGCAATAGTGTAGCCATCCAAATGCACACACACTTCTTCACCTGCTTTCAGAAATGTTTCACTAAGGCATATAACATCTAATTCACATCCTATTTCACGAGGCAAAAGAAGTCCAGCTCCAGCTTTGTCACAATAGTATACAATATACAGACACCTGCCACCTATTTATAAATATTATGTTATTTATTACAATCATTTCAAGCTAAGCTTTTATCCCGGGAGTGTCCGTAGAACCTACAGAGGGGAAACTGAACCAGAACTGGGACGGGCAGCAGTGTGTTCATGATAATAACTGAATAAAAAAAGACGCAGTTGCTAACCCGCTTATCAAGCGTGGTAGCTATAGCAAATATCCCCCATTCTCTATCAACCCTATGAGATATGGAAAAAAAGTGGGCAGGTGCAAATTTATAAATAAAATAGGTAATAATAAGCAATATTATTTGAAAGCGTATGTAAAAATATCTACTTCCGCATATCATCCCGTGGGTGTAGTACGAGTAATAAGCGACAGACGTTTTAAATAGGTTGTAACAGAGTAACGGAAGCAATATTTACTTTCGCAAAACATTAGCATAACGATACGGAATTTTTCTCATTAGAATTTATTATTGTCTAATTGTAATCTAATATATATATATAGTATAATACATATAGAGCTATTTATATAGAGTCGCGGTAGCTCAGAAGCCAGACAACGCACGCGATCCAGGTTCAATCCCGCCGACATCCATGAAATTGTTAATTGCATTTAGCACGTATTCCGTATTTAGCGCGTCCGAGCAACCGTTGACTAAAAGCTTAGGGAAGACTCGTC